GCCTGCCTCTGTGATTATTATGCTTAACTAATTTAATTACAGCAAAGGTAAATAAAAGCAGGCATACCCTGTAAATCCCATCTAACTGCAGGAGCTGTATCAATATCTAAACACCAGCCAGATGACAAAGAGCTGTGTGGTGTTCGTTCAAACACTCTGCTAAAGCCACAAACAGCTTTGACTTTGAGCTTTTAGGAGAAAGAATTTTCAAGATAAGTGCTGGTTTTCCGTCACGGTATTTTCCTCCAAAATGGATAAATGAATAAATGGTAACAGAAACCAAACCATTATCTGGCACTTGGGCTTAACATGAAATTCCAGGCCCTGATCTTCAGTTGCAAAAGGCTGAAGTAGACGGAGCTACCCAGATGATGATGAGCTATGTCAGCTCAAGTATTTTGTACTTAAATCCCTGCTTTGCTTTCAGTAGAAACAAATCAGCAATGACAAGCTTCTTGCAATAAATCTGACCCTTATTTTCAACCAACAGTATCTCCTCCTGCCACTCCAGAAAAACACATTTCTTGCTAAGGGAGCCAGCACTGGTGTTGCCAAAATTAGGGCTTCCAGAAGCAGAGTCCCCCACAAGCCTGCCCCAAGGCCTTTTTGGGGAATTTTTAGTGTACCCATCACTGAGGCAAACCGAACACACATTTGTGCTTAAAATATAAAAAAATAATGAATTAACATGATGGGATTTTTTTTCAGTCTGCTAAAATATGGTTAACTATTAAATTATGGTATAAAAGTCATGGTATACAAAACTGTTTGCTATTGTATGAAGTCAATCAAATAGGGTGCCAAATGATCGTCTGCCCCTAATGCTTCCAGCACTTGGGGCATATAGGTCACCTTCAGAAAGGAGAACTTTGCCATACTTTATCACTTTCACATGAGAAAGTGAAGATAATTCACCTTGCAAGCACCTACATTTATTTGTGACTTGAACATGCCTTTCCATGATCTATACCATCATTATGGTACTTAACAGTTAAACAACTGACAGAAGAGTCATGAGAAATAGATCTCTGTTAACTTGAGTTGCATTTTCATGACTTAAAAGCAGAAAATGGATCCTATCTCACTGTTTTCTTTCCTCCTCTATTCATGGAATTGGGTTGTCCTTACTTCTCTTGTAATAGGCCCTGGTGTTTTATACAGACTTCAGCTTATCCTCTCCCTTGGGCAATTTCTTAAGCATCTCACCTCACTTAGGAGAACCAAACCTTGACAACCACCTCTGTGTATCGACAGCCCAGTAAATGTCCTGGTAAAAAACAATGTTATGACTAACATCAGGCCTGTCCAGAGATGCAGGAACTGATCCAGGTCACAAGGAGCATGGATATTTGCATGAATGGATATAAAAACAAGGACCTTAAGAGAGTGATGAGTAGGAGTCAGTATTAAACATCCACATGCAGTGACTGACAAAGAAAAGGTGGGCTGGCAATTTTCAAACAACTAACCCAATTATCCAAGTTATCCACTACTAATAGAAGTCTTCAGCTTTCAGGTTTGTAAGCAAAATCTGTCGCTTATTGATAAAAATCGAGAGAAAAACCAAAGAAGCCCGGAGTTACTCAACTCTTGTACCTCTAGAACACCTAATTTTGTTTAATACAAGGAAAACACTGGCTCAGTTCAGAGTCCATTCTTCTTTTGGTAATGACCATCCTACACTTTAATTTAAAATAAACAGTCTCCTTCCCTCAGCATAATGGAATGTACATAAGAAACCAATTAAAAAGTTGATGTTACTTCTACACATTTGGTACCTATTTATGGCTGGTATCTCTTCAAAGTACAGGGGAAAAAAAGGCAAGTCTGGGTCCCAGAGTGCAGGAAGTGTTGCATATTTCTCTACAAAGGTGACTGTATGGCATTGCTGTGACAAATAACGTGGCACTATCCATGATTAGGAAATGTTAGTTCACTATGTGTCTCAATAGCAATGATTTCAACATCTGTATTACACAACTTAACATCTTTCAGTTGTAAAAATTATTCTGCTTGTCAACCCCCATGTTCAAGGCTCATCAAAGTTGTTGTCAGTGACAGGAAGAATGAGAATACGCTGAATATACCAGCTTCTTTTCAAAATTACTCAGATGTCATTGAAAAAATTAGCAACTATTAATGAATGCAGAATATGAAAGTAAATGCATTTGAAACTCCTACCAAGAACACAGCTTCCCCATTAAAACCAAAATCTGAATAATTTCTACAGTGCAAGCGATGCTTGTTCCTTGTTAATGTTCTTAAAAAATTCAGCTTGGAAAACTACTTGTTTAATCCTTCTCACCTGAACTCTTCAAGAAAAGACATTCATTTGATTAACTCTTCTTAACACTAATTGGAATGGGTATCATATTTATTTAACAGAGCAATTACTTTCTTTTCTAAAAGACAGAAAAGAAACTAAGTAGCACTGACTGCTTAAAATGCTTGGTGCTAACAGCCTGAGTTTCTGCAACAAGTTCTTCTTAACCGCTTCTGATTTTACTTACTGAGCACAGTTATGGCTGACGCCACCCACCAGTAACAACTCCTGTCTTACACCTTGTTCCACATAACCTGTCAGCGAAGGTGGGGAGAATTCTGTTATATGTTTTAACAAAAACAGGTCAGAGAGATAAAATTGTAATTTTTTTGGTGCACTCCTTTTGATAGTCCTTTTCTGAGTCAAATGTTTCTGAAGTGTAAGAGGAGATTCCTCTCTTCACCCTCAAATAGCCCTCACCTGTACATCTGCTCTTTTTCACATGCTTCCTATCCCCTTGGCTGACACACAGGAATATCATTGAATCATAAAATTGTTCTGGTTGGAAAACACCTTTAAGATCATCAAGTTCAACTATTCCCCCGGCACTGTCAGGTCACCACTAAACCATGTCCCTCAGCACCACATCTCCATGGCTTCAAAAGCCCTTCAGGGATGGGGACTCCACCAGTACCCTGGGCAGCCTGGGCCAGGGCTTGACAACCCTTTCAGGGAAGACATTTCTCTTCATGTCCAACCTGGTGTGCCTTAGAACTTCAATACAGAAGATGGAAGAGAAGAAACTGGTAAAAGAAAGTTCTGAAATCCTTTTTCTGAATTTATTATTTCCAGCACACAATGTTGCTTTTTCCCACTTCCTTAATTCCATAGAAAGAAATCTTTAAAGTATACAAAAGCACAGCACATGCTAGATAACATTTTTGGCTTTGTTTACCAAGCCTGAACTGAGTCTTCACAGTGGACGAAGCAGAGGTAAGTAAACAGGCTTTCTTAACAAGCCTTCTGGGCTAATCACTCCAACCAGCTACCAACACGTATCTTACATCTCCTCTCACCCCAACTCCTCCCTACACCTCCCCATTCTTTCAGGGTCACTACTTCTTTCTGACTACTCCATATTCTCCTAATAATGCTATGGGAGATGTTGCACTGACTCTGATCTGTCACTGGATCTTACCTGATCCAGTTCCCTGAACTACCCAGCACACTGGGCACAGGGTTTCCACGAGGCACCATTTCATGCTGTCCACTGAATGACATCCTTTGCTACTCCAGGAACACATTCAGGGCAAAGTGGTATTAAGGCTCCTCCACGTTTTTACACTTGGAGACCAGAAAACACAGGCTCAGCCTCAGCACCATCCCAAGGCAGCGTGTAGTGAAAAGTTTCCGACCAGCCCCATTTAGGAGGATCTCTCTCTACCTGCTGTGTCCTCAAACACCATCTGCCTGCAGATGAAGCTGGGAAGCGTTGGCATAGGGCAGATTTATACATGCTAATGTTCCCTTCCCAAGTTATCTTCAGTAAATTCCCAAGATGTGTTTCTAGAAAAGACCAATATGGATACTCTGGGGACCAAAATTTACCTCTGAAAAGCACTGTCTGAAAAAAATGAGAGAAAAATACTCTGGACTAGTCCACAGAGAAAACAGATTTCATCTATGGAGGCTTCTATCCAATAGTCAAAGCTTAACAATTCCTCACTTTCCTGCCACTTTTAGGCTTTCTTTGGGAAGGATTGCCATGAAACAAAAAAGCCAGGGGTGTCTTTAAGAAGCTCTGATAGTCTCTATTTCATTCATGGTGCTCTAAACATATCATGAGGTCAAAGTCAAAGTCTTATCAGGTCATATTTCTGTGCCCTTTCAGGCATAAGCTCCAATCTGCAATTTCAAAGCTACTCCACTAATGTTTAAGGTGAAAAAAGATGCAGGAAGCCTGCTGAGGTAACAAAATAAAGGCAGAGGAAACAAGCTGACTTGGAAAGTCCTGGCAGTGCAAGCTGTCTCTAGCACAAAAGGTTGCATCACAAAATATTTTACACCAACCAAAAAGCTTCTATTCTAAGCTATTTTTGTCTGACGCTAATTCCATTCTATACATAATCTTGCCTTGAATTTTCTCTCTCTTGTTTTTTAAAGCAAACCTACGGATCATCAATTTGACTCACAATTATGTCACAGTGCACAGACCTGGAGCTGCACTGCCAACATGCAACAGAAACTGCTTTTGCCTTTTTAAAGCATAAACATGCTGGCTGCTGAAGAAGTAGAAAAATGTAAGGTGCACACTAGTGTTGAGCATAACAGAATCCTCCAAACAGTAACGTACCTAAAAGGATAGCGACAAAGCGTCAAATGGAAAATGATCACATATAATTAAATAGTAATAAAACCTGTCTTTTAAGCTCAGAATCATTGTGATTTTGACACAGAAGCTTGTGACAGTAACTGACGGAATACTGGGACAAAGCCTGTTGGTCATACACACGCAAATGGAAACCACACTCATATTCATGTGCAAATGCTGGTTTCAGAAGAATTACCAATTCTGTACTCACTACACTTGTTTAGAAGAAGAAATCAAATGGGAATGACTACCAGTGTTTGATAACTTTTAGAAGAAATGTGATTTGTAACCTCCTGTGAATATCAAACCAGTGAGCAAGTATTTTCCCACGGCAAGTGAATATTATTTTAAAAATTTCAGTCTTACCTTAACTTTAAGCACAGAAGAAAACATTTTGGCATCTTCAGACACTCCTCCAATGTACATTTTTTTGGTAAAGACAGGCACGTGGTCATTTTCATCCTTCACTTCAATAAAGACCTTAGCTGTATTACCTGAAAGAGGAAATGGAAAGTATAAGTAGAACACTTTGCAATAAATCTTTAACACCTACCGGCGTTTATGCATTTGTAGTCCAAACAGATCATGTGAAATAAGCATATGGATAATATTGTAAAAAATAAATACATTAGAAATAATAGCATATCTGGCATGAAAATTATGAACTTGAAGGAAGTCAAGAGATTTCATGCATTTTTTTTTAATCTACCTTTATAGTTTCTTCGTTTCCCATTTTTCCTGATTTAAATCTTGATTTAACTCGGAGCTGAAATTTGTACTTTTATAGAAGATGACTCGTTACCTGTACACCTGCACTTTGCTATTAGAACTGTCTGAATTTGTCTGTAAGCAAAAAGCTGCCATGGTTTTCTTTAGAAAGCAAGCTATTTGGGGAAAAGATAAGAAAAGACCTGTAAGTCATTTTTCAAATAAATAGAAAAGCAGAAGGAAGACTACTATAGTTCAGTTACACAGATTTGGGTTACATTAAATTCTCACGAGCGTTACAGAGAGGGAATGAACAGGTGATGGATACTAGCAGTTATGTTTCACCTGCAGCTTCCTTTATATATTTTAATACCTCCCAGGCAAGCCCCTTCTGGGTGGTTCAGCCATGGTGTCTGTGAACTCACACATGGTCATGCGCTGGCTAAGCAGCCTCCACACCTAACAAATTTACTGTGTTAATTAACTGCATGCCCAAGGCTGTCCTCATCACAAACCCAGGAACTCAAGAAGGATTACTTGCCCTCAAGAGGTTCAACACATCTTCAAGCGAAATAACCACTGTTAATTTGTGGTTTATTAAACAGTTTCTGATCCACCCCACTGAACAATAAACATCTCTCTCCTTCTGTGAGGAAAAAACATCTAGGAAAGACTATGGACCTAGTGCAAAAAAGACTCAACTGCACAATAATCCATATCAGCATCTGTTTGTGTCTTTCAGAACTGTATAATCCAGAAAGATTGCTGGAAATGATGATATCCAGTTCATTAAAACCACATTTCCAAGTGATAAATTGCCTCATTTTGGAGCTGGTTTTCCCAACTTGTTTCCATGCCAGGGTAATTCTAAGTGTTGCACAGGTGCCATGCTGATCTGAGTTAGCTTCAAAACTCATTTACAAAGAGCTTAGTAGCTGTATCTTTATGGGACAAAAAAAAAAAAAAATAAAAAAATTAAAACCTAGAGTATTTCTTAGGCTGTCAAAGTTGCCAAAGATATTCTGATAGTCCAACTTACAGGAAACAAATGAGGATTTCATAAACCTAACTGAAACCTGAGAAAAACATTTAAAATGCCATCCAGTGTGTTAGCACAGGGAGAAGAAAAAGAGAAAGGACAGAAAAAAAGGCCATGATGTTTCCTAAGAGGAATAATCAAATACTCATCTTCCACACTGATCTGTGCAGATCTGTTAAACAACTTGTAGGTGTGTTGCTTCATGGGAAAATGACTTTATGACAAGCTCTCTTTTTATAGATGTGGCAAAAAAAGCAATAATCCCACATCTGAATGTGTGTAACGTGGATATAATGGTCCATTTGTCATCATCTCTAGTGTGCTTACATTAATTTTAGAAGAACGCTGCTTACCTTGACTACATTATTTATTACACTGAAGAAAAAATTGCAGCCAAAGAGGTATTATGGGGTCCTATGAATAGTCAAATCTCTCTCATTAAACTGTATCCTCACCGTTTTCTGGCTGCAGTACTAAGGTACAGTTAGAAACTGCTGCCCTGTTGAGAAAAAAAAAGATTCCCAGGCAGGCTTTTTCGCTGCAGCTACTTGTTTTAGGGAAGAAAGCAAGAACTGAAGCAGGATTACAGGCAACGTGTTTAAGTGACCTTGTCCTGCTGGGCTAATGAACAGTTCTATCAACGGCTGGCACCAGTTTGCTGCCATAGGGAAGATCCCAACTGTGTCACGTTCCGTGCTGGTAGGAGGAGGCGTTTGCCAACCTGCACCAGCTCTCTGGCAAGCCAGTGAAACACCTTTTGCACAGTGCTCGCTGTCTTCAGCATCTCCAGCCAGTTTGGGTGAGGTGGCCTAGCCTCGTGCAAAGTTTGCTTTCCAATTTGCTCACAACCATTTGTTTAATTTGCTGGTAGTTCTTGGAGCTGCCAAAGCGACGATTTGTTTTGTGACGGCTGAACACTTGGAAGATGAGAAATGGAAGGTATTACTTTAAGCACAGAGGAAATTAAATATCCTGCCTATATACAGATCAACATTAGCATCATTAACGTTAAATTAAAGGTATACCTTTGTTTTATCTTACTGCCTGATTTTTATAGGCAGCTTGTATTTCATTCATTCCAGGAGGCGAGGGGAAGGTGTCATCTGTGAGCTCCTCACCACCACGGGCGTTTTATCCTGATCCAACCTATAGCTAGCCTGAGGGAATGGCTCCCAGCTGGTTACACCCTGGGCCTGACCCCCACGCTGGATAAGCCTGGAAGCAGCACACATTAAAATCCCTCACCAGAAACCGTGCCACGCATGCGAAGGTCACACCAGACCCTTCTCCACGGGGATCTTCTCAGCTGCTCTGCTCAGCTCGGTTGGATGTCCCCTGACTGTGTGGCTCTGGTGTCCAGACGCACGGTATGGAGCTCCTCCACCCACCAGCCCAGGCCCTCCAGAGCCCTGCCTGACTGCAAATGGACACCCAACCTGAGCATGTTCTTACAGAGTCTGCTTTTGACTATGGCATTACATTCTTGTTTTCCTTCCCAGTCCAAACCTGTTAATGCTTTTTCTAAACATTGTGTGTGGCTCTAGCCCCCTTTTCTGGTGTGTGAAGGGAGGCGACAGCACCCACTACAGGATGCACCCTGTCAGTTACTGATACTCTTGCTGGTAGGACAGTGAAGACCAAAGGACACCAGTATTTACACTTGCCTTCTAGAGGGAAAATGTGGTATCCTCATGAATGTAAAACCTTACAGAATCATAGAATGGGTTGGAAGGGACTTATAATAGGGCCATCTAGGCCAACCCCCTTCACTGAGCACAGACATCTGCAACTAGAACAGGTTGCTGAGAGCCTTGACCAACCTCAAATAATTCCAGGGATGGGGCTTCCACCACGTCTCTGGGCAACCTGGGCCAGGGTCTCACCACCCTTGGCGTAAAAAATGTCTTCCTCCACTGTAGTCTGAATCTCCCCACTTTTAGTTTAAAACCACCACCCCTTCTCCTGTCACAACAGGCACTGCTAAAAAGTCCCTCCTCTGCTTTCTGACAGTTCCCTTTAATTACTGAAAGGCTGCAAGAAGGTCTCCCCGGAGCCTTCTCTTCTCCAGGCTGAACAACCCCAATTCTCTCAGCCTGGCCTCACAGCACAGGGGTTCCAGCACTTGCATCACTGTTATGGCCTCCTCTGGACCTGCTCTAACAGGTCCATGTCTTTCTTGTGCTGAGGATTCCAGAGTGGAGCTGATTGCAAACCTTGCTTCTTCAGCATTCTAGATCTTGAATCCAGCTCCTCTTCCATTCTTTTTCATGAATAACAGGAGCTGAAACCAGAATTTATTCCTCTGTGGTACTTCTTGTTAGACCTCATGCAATTCAAGTGTTAAGTCTTATTTACTATCTAAATAGCTGGCCAGGTGAAAGAATAAAAAGCATCTTTCCCTGGACAGAGCAGTACAGGGACTTCTAAGGTAGCAAAAAAGAGGGGAGAAGAAATTTGAGTTAGTGCTACAACTGTCTTCCTGTAGCTAAAGTGCTCCTCTGCATGTAAAGTATGCAGATAATACTCAATAAGCCAAAAGTTTCTTTACCTTTACAGCACATTTTTATTGCTAAGACACATCTATTGTGTGGATTTTTGATATCAATTAGTTAAACAGTCAAGAAGGTCAAGCCAGCCTCCCAGATGATACACGTGAAAGGCAGTTTCTGCACCACAATCTCCTGCAAAGACTCCTGCGTCCAATTTGCCTCCTCTCTTCTAGAGCCCCCTGAGATGAGCTGCAGTGCACAGAATATACAGAACTGCAGCTCCTTGTAAACTGTCTTCAGCTTATATGAACCAAACATATTGCTTGTACTGCTCCAGCTAAATAATCTTTCCCAGGACTACAGGATGAGGCACTTGGGTCTTTCAGCTTCTCAGAGAGTGGAAACATGCTCAGAGGTGCTCTAAAGGAAACCTGAAGATCCTCTGAAACACATGAAACTAGTAGATCATGAATGACTACCACGGAAAACTGAAACAAACACTACCACTCCAGGGAGCTGGTCAGATGGAGGATGCACCAGCATTTCCAGAAGTTCTTCCCAAACACACTTGCTGAGAAACCTTTTCCAGTATCACTGCTTATCTCAGGAGTGCTGATAATACGCCTGGTTCACATGAGCCTGTAGTGTCCTGTCAGAAATGAAGCTGAACTAACACAGTGCTTTTTGAATGCTGGGACAGCATCAACAATGCTTTGAGTGTTACCAGGTTTGTTTTACATTATGCCTTCACCAAAGTCGCTCCACTTGTCTTCGACAACGTGCCAAATCAGCCACTGATACAGCTGCTCGATGCCTCATGCATCAATAATTTTAACATAAAAAACCTGCTTCTAGCTTAAACAGCACCTGTTTGTTCTGCACTGGGTAACACCAGATTCTCCTCTCTTAAAAGTTAATTTTACTCAAACTGGGAATGAGAACTGGAATTTGTCAGGGTCCAAGAGCACTTTGCTTTACCACTGTCTTACAAGTCTGTTGAGCAGCCTTTGTGCTTTGGCAGGTACACTGAGCTGAGCTGCAGCTGCGTCCCCTCTTGCCTTACCCGATTTGGCAGAACCAAACAGGAATCAGCACTGAATATTTGCAATGCCATTTTGGTCTAAATCACCAAAAAGCCTGCCCATAAAGCCTGGAGAAGCTCTTCATACTCTGTAGCCGATCAAGAACAGTACAAAAAGAAGCTCTGACAAGATGTGAACAGCACTGATCCAAGGTCTGTTTTCAATAAATATAAACC